TATATACATTTCTTACTGTGCATCTTACAAATGCAACAATTTCATTATAAAATAGCTAACTAATAGAGCTTGTATTCGTAGTGCTGGCACTGATAACTGCAGTATTTTATGTGCATGCTAAGGCAGAACTGGTCTTTCAGAAATATGTGTATTACTACCTTAGACTCTCATAAAACAGAAATCTCTTCAACAAAACAAGGAAATCTACATGGTTATTTTGGAAATCTTAATTGGTGAAGAATTTCCTCTCATTTGGGATTCGAACCTGGGACCAATAGCTTTCTGGTGAGGCCATTCTGCCATCCAGACATAACCAGGAGTGTGCGAGGTGGAAAGGGGTTTATAACGCAGAAAGTTCCCATTCATGGTCGTCCTTAATATAGAATGCACCCTAATTTTCCTACATTGAGAAAAAATTAAATGGGACAATATTTATCTTGCCTCGGCAGATTTTAATGGTGAAAAAAAGAGCTATAGTATGTTCAGATTCGGAGGTGAGAGTAGATTGGGCCCCACCTGATGTGTGTGATTTCTCTTGTCTTAACGAAGAGCACCAAGCTGGGCTAGATGGTTGACATCACTTTGTCAAGGACAACCACATGAATAGAAATAAAACGTGCTTAGACCCACAACTGATTTGAAAGTCTGCACACGTGCTGTTTATTCTTGTGTTCTCATTATAGTGTATAAAAAAAAAACATCACAAGATGTACTTGAATTTGTTGTACTTGTAGCACTTGTTACGTCTCGCCTCATGCAAATGTTGTTTATATGCTGTTTTTAATTGTCGCCAATAGCCAAACAGTCCAAATAACCAACCACCCTTGTACTTGAGGCAACCTTTACGAAAATAATATATTTAAAATATGCCTGTCACAATCGGTGAGACATGGCACTTAAATATTATGATTTGTTTTAAAAGATTTAACTGCTGTAAAGGAAATTTTTACTGTATATGAGTTCAATGTTAAGTGAAATTCTTAAAATCTTGTTTTAAAGTTACGAGTCTCGTATGTCAGTCTGTGCATTTTCCATTACTGTAAACATGTTTTCTTCTAAAAGTTTTTTTTCGTATTCTAAAAGTTTTTTTCCATATGACCCACCTCTAGGCATGCTATTTGTATTGGTCATGTGTTCCTGCTTTGCGCCTTGCAGGTATTCCTTCTTTCTGGTGCTGTATCCAACTGGTGTGTCGGTAAGCATCCCAATTGTTGCAAGCTCATATTGCTGTTCGCATCATCAAAAAAAAAAATTTCAAAATTGTCAACACTTGAAATGAAATGGTAACTCTGGCTCCATTATGAGAAGAATATAAATTCATTAGAATATAATGAAGCAAATCAAAATTCTTTGCCTGTACTAGTTACCAAAAAAATGGGCCTTAATAAAAATACATGTAAGGTGCCCTTAAGACACGTAGGTCTTTGGCCGTTATAACATTATAAACTAATTTGTGGATGGCTAAAGTTTGTCCTTTTTTTTAATTGGTTGAATTGAGTTTATTTTGCAACAAGGTTACGAGGACACCAGGCAAAAAAGCCTGCATTGAGAGTTTGAGAGGAACCTGGCCACCTCATACACTGAGCAGTTACAGTGGTTGAACAGAAGTGTGCCGTATACATAATGCATGAACAAAACAGTAAATAACCATGGTAAAAATTAATGAACAAAGTTATTGTGGAAACATTTGAAAAACAAAGAAAAATAAAGCTGGTAGTGACTGCTCTTGTGCGAATTACTGAACTTGTGTATTCATCGAGAAAATGAAAATGCATGGACATTATAGGCCTCCCTTTATTGTTTTTTGACACTTTAGATGAATTTGGCATTTCGTTAGTTGGGACATTTTTTCTGGTCCTCTGAAACCCAAGTTAACAACCTTTTATTGTATATGCAATCGACAAATTAGAATATATGCTTTAAACCAAAAGTTGGTGTTTGCTTTAGGACCACTGTCTAGCCATCTTTTTCGTTATCAGTTGCGCAAGCCTCTAGCAATATTAGCTTTTACTTTTGTTTTTTGCTTTAGTGCTTATAATTTGTGATAATTTCTCTTTGCGTCAATCACGTTCTTCAGAGTATATTCACCTCCTATGTAATGCCCCTTTGTGATGGCCTTTTGGTTTGTTAGCACTCTTTGTTATGACAAAGTTGCATTTTGCAAGAGAATAAGTTTGTTATATCCGAAAGGTCATTGTAATGGTTTATTTCTCTAGCACTGTATCTATTGCAAGACTCTTTTTTATTGACTTCATTATAAGCAATATTTTGTTATATCCCATGTTCGTTACATCGAGGTTTGAGTATAATACTTTTTGTTGAACACCCATCTAGCGTTTTGCTTCGTTTACTGGCCTGCTTACAAGCACGCTTTCAAGCACTACTTTTCTACCCAGGGCGAGATTGTGACGATGGTGGCGGCCTTGCCATACATCCGCAAACGAGGCCTCTTCACCTACCCTTTGCCGAACCATCTCAACTTCTCCTTCGATTATTACATATTCGTCATCCTTGTCATTGGCTCCTACCTGCCCTGTAAGTCGCTGCTGTTCTGGAAAGTTTTCAAGCAAGCGTGGCCTGTCAGAAACAAAATTCAGTCTGTAGCAGGACTTTTGCTTGTGTGCACATTCTTGTTGGCAAATCAATAGAATCCGTACAAAAAAAAACTCAGGGGGTCAAAATAAAGGACTGTGTTGAGACTCATCTGGCAGTTCTGTAAAGTGGGGAGATATATAGCCATTTTACTTCTCAGACATCTTAGCTGCAGTGGTGGATTTTTGTCGAGTATCAGTTGGCAAATCATGTCTCATGTTAGTGAACATTAACAATTATGGAAGTAAATTACAGTATGTAGAATGTACATTGTATTGTGAATATTTTTATGCTCTTTATTAATAAATGAACAGATGCTGCAGTGCATGGTGATACTATACTACTAAGCTTTTACTAGAAATAGCTGCTGAAGCAAATTCCAATAAAAATTTTAGTAGTGTAAAAGATTAAATTAGTTTTTTAGTTATAGGTAGCGTGGATGCAGAGGAACGTTCATGTGAAATTGTGTGTACTATGTTTGAGGAGTGGACACATGTAGAAAAGTTTCATAATTGAAACAAAAGCCAGGCAATATGCAGAGCCTGGAAAGTTGAAAAACCAATTTCCTTCGCACACGTTATGCAGTGCCCATGGCGTACTAAACATCTTGTCCACGGGTTTTAGGTGGGAGCCGACAGATGGAAACAATGTAGTAGGATAATCAGGGTGAACAGTGGAAGTGCCTCAAACTGGCTGGCTGACGCTTCGATAGGAGGACCTATCTTTTTCACAGGCGCCGTGTCGTCCTTGGCGTGTTAGTGGCGACGTCATTTCCCGGTGATGGCACGTGTCCCTGTTAATAATCGCTGTCTGAAAAGCAAAAAAAGCTATGGACTAGTGCAGTCCTCGCTTCACTTCAAGTCAACTCTGCTTTATAGTTTTTTTTTGCTTCGAGCACTTTTGTCGGGAAGAGAGAAGAGAATGAAACTGCAGCATGCAACGAATCTTAGTAACTACACTTGTACTAGATGGATTTAAAAATTTTCGCCGCTGTGAATTCATCAGGTAATAAGCTCTTTTAGTGAATGCATTACACGGCTAATTGGAAAAGTGTTGCACGGCCCTTAGTAGCTGTGGCATTCTGCTGCTGATCATAATGTTGCTGGTTCGATTCTCGAACATGGGGGATAAGTGCAGGAACATTCTAGAGTTTGTAAATTTAGGTGCAAATGCTGTAAGAAGATATGGAACCACCCACAATCGCATTGTAACCTACTATTTGTACATTTGATGTCATTAATTCAATATTGCAGTGCATGGGATTTGTGGATGAAGCAACTACTTTCTGTGGGCACAAATGATCTTTTATAGCAGGATTGAAAGAGCATGCTGCACTATTTAAAAAGTACCGACACCAATTAAAAAAAAATTGTTGCTCTTAATAATAAAAGTACTGGTGTTTACAAACCTAAAATGAGCTTTGCGATGTCTTGAAATGCATCGAATATATTTTAATACCACTATCGCTAAAACATGCTTGGTTTTGACATCGAGGAGGTGGCATCTCTGTGTTCTCATAACAGTGTGACATCATGGGAAGACAGCAACTGCGCATACTAACAGCAAATCCGTCATTATCTCATGGAGCACATAGACAGGAATGAGCAAATTGTCATCCAGTGATTATGACATAAATTTCTGTGATTTAAGGTGCATGCGAAACGCAGAGCTCGCAAACTGCCTTGACTCAGGAAAATGTCCATTGCAGATGAGCTGCCTTGCAGATGTTTAGCGACAAAAAGCTTTGAAATCGGAATATTTTATACGTGTTGTCTGACTCCGGTGTGTAGAGAGCATTGATACTGCATACTGATGAAACAAAATTACGTCCCTTTTGCGGTATATTCAAATCCTCTCAATGCTCCTTTAAGGCACGTATGTACATTGCCTTTTGCTTTATTCTTTAGCCATACAAGTGCCTTGCACAAGGCCCTCTTTGCTGGGTCTAAGGAAAGACCCGATTTCAATTTCTTGTCGTGCAAGCATGTGAGCAATGTCTGAATTGTAAATTTTATGCGGTGCAAGTTACATGCCTGTAACATCGCCCCGCCTCTCCCCATTTCAGTCTTTCCCCAGCTGTTTGGCCACCTGCTGAAGCAAAGGAAACGCTTCCTGTCTCCTTCCGATGACTCCAAGAGAAAATGAAGACAGCGATTCCTCTGCATGTGCACAGCTGCACACGTGCTTCCTGCAAAGAAGGTGACTTCAAGGAGCAATCGAACACAGAACATTTCAAGCAAACACGTTGTGGTCTTGTCTGCACACAAACTGTTTCAGGCATGCTGTCTTGATGCAGGTGAAAGGACCATGTGGTGGTTTTGGATCATTTCATTGGGAACTGCTGTTTGCTCTAGGTGTGAGTGTTTATTTTTTTTCTCACTGCTTTTAATATAAAGATTGACAGGGAGTGACTCTTTGGAACAACTTTTCATTATTCTGCATTTAGTGATTCTGGAGGTCGCATCACACCTGGGAGAACAAGGTGCATAGCACAATGGCTCTCCCAGTGGCACCAACATATCAGAAGTTGTGTTCTGGCCGATCAGCACATCTTGGATGTGAGGATGTGACTAAAAGTCAGTGCTCAATCACTAGAGAGGACTTGGACAGTGGCCCCAGTCCTGATGGCAGCATTTGCACTGGTGGAAGTATTGATTACAGGAAGAATCTTCTCCTGCTGGTCTCCATTTCATGTCTCTGTGAAAGCCAAAAGCAAAAGCTTGAGTTGGTAAACCAGCATCTGTATCGACAGAAGCGTAGCAGCAATGTTATTGAAAGTAGTTCATGAAACGGTTCTTTCTCACATCCTCGAAAACGTACTTTGTAAGGCCATTCATAAGTCAACAGCCAAAGAACACAATCGCAAGTGTGTGATGTACAGCAACAAATCATTAAAGCAGTTAAAAAAAATGTCGGTAGGTGCAAAATCATGTCGGCAAACATACAAAGTAGTACCAGTTCCCTAGCACATTTCAACAGTGTGCCAGGCTTTCCACCACAAGGAACTTGAGAATTCTTGTAAATTCTTATAACACGATAACTGGTTGACATCTCAAAACAAAATTTTTATTTAACATTTAATATGTATTGTAGTGTGTCTTTGTTTCTTGGCCAAGAAACAAAACATGTCTCAACAATGCCTTGTCCCCTTAGGATATCAGGTAGAAGCAACCCAGAAGTTCAGGCACCATCAAGTTGGCTATCAAGCTACACTTTGCCTACTCTTGCATCTAGATAGTATAATGGCTTTTTCACAATGTGAAAATTGTACCAAATTTGGTCCTCTGTGTGCTGAACTAGTGCTTGGGGAGTGTGACCAACTATTTGGTGTTTGGCTCAGCACTGGTTCCATTACCGCATAGATTTTTTTCTTGCAGTGAGACTGGGTGGAGATGCCACAAAGTGATCTTGTAATCCTTTTTATTGTTAACCTTTCTTCCCTTTTTGTGTCTACATATTTTCCTGCTGACTCTGATTCTAAAAACTCCCAGTCCTGTAACTATTATCATATCAGCATGACCATACACGACCACAAACGCAGCTGCTGTCATCTGCAAACAGATGAGCAGTAGCTGCGGGAGAGAGTCTGCGAATGTTTGTTAGGTTCTGTGCAGCACTGCGCAGCAGTCTGCATGGTTATCCATGCACCATCACTCAAAGTTCGTTTCAAGAAAGCTTTGCGGTCCAAAACTCATTCCTACCTTCCATCTGCTCCGATTCGAAATGCAAAGCTCAAGTAAAAATATTTACTTTTTTACAGATGACAGATCATGTAGTGAGCAAATCTGCATGCGAATAAACAAAAAATTGTCCAGCAGTGCCCGACCATGGACTGCTGTGCTAGGTTGCAATCTCAGGCACTGGCAGACAAAGAACTGCAAATGGTTAAGCTGTACAAAAATATATTTAGAAGTATCAGCATGATGAGAGTATGCAGTAACATTTCTCTGTGAATGATCCATTGGCCCCCTTACCTTTAGCACCCACTCATACTCTCCAAACTTGGAGTCGAAGGTTCCCCTTCTGTAGGCTTTTGAGCCGCAGTGTGAAACGGGGTCCTATTTCCTGGATGCTCACTTTCTCTGCATTCCTGAACTCGTACCTGCGTCCGCAAATGAGTACAACAAGTTCAAACGAGGCATATTAAGGTGACCAGGCTGAACGCTTCCTTTGACGGCTACAGGAGACCAACCTGTGGTGCCGGAAGAAGATGTAGTCTCGACGGTGAGCACTGTAGGCAGCACGACCCTGCGTGAACAAGACCACATGAGCCGATCGCTCGAAAAGGGCCGTGATTTGCTGCGACAAATGGTTTCAGTAAAGCCCTGTTGTGCTCAGAAATTTCTGGGAATGTAGTCAACGTGAAGAGATTGTCGAAGCTGTTGTCATGCCAGAAGTTCAGCTATTGGTAGGGGGCCCCAAAAGTTAAGTGACAGCATGCCGGGCGTGTACAACAGTACATAAAATAAATTTACAATGAAAAGGCAATTACAAAAGCAGCATTAATTTGGCTCTGCATGACAAAAAATGGCAGGATCAAGCATTTTCGCTGGACTCTATCCCAATCTACATGCTTGCTGCTCATGCTGCACAACCTTACTGGTGCCACAAATGGCATATTTGTGCTCATCTGCAACAATCAGCTTTTGATTTGTCATGGTGCAGCGCATGTGACTACGACACTATCTCCTAGCAGGGCTAAAGCTGGCTGTCGTGTGGCTGCTAGAATTCTCCACATTCAATGCCTCCAAATGTGTTCACAGCCATGCGGTGTTTTCTTTAAGCTTGTTAGAAAGTTAGACCACTAACCTTGATATCCTTGCAAAACTTCACGCTGCTTATCCTGAAGTATGCAGTAGGCCCATCAGGTAAGTGTGTCAGAAGTAGTCCATCTAGAAGGGTGGAAAATTTTTAAGTTTTAAGCTAAGTATAAAAACTTGCAAAAATGTCACAATGACATTGCAAAGCCAAGGTGTTCTTAAGGCAAAACTATTCAATCTGTTCAAAGACCTTTGAAATCAATATCGCCTATTGCATACCTAAAGCTTACATGATTTCATTGTTGTTGTCTTGAAAAAGAGTTGTAAAGGAATACTCAGACATACTAAGATGAACTTTTAATAATGCTTCTGCAATAATCAGCTAAGTTTAATGGCTTAGACATGGTGATGCAGAAGGGGGAAATCTGTTGTAGTCAAAGAAGGGCACATAGGGGAGGGGATACCTTTTACTATTTTGGAAGCAGCATTTCGAAGCAATTATATAGCTATGGGAGAGAAGAGGCGCCAGGCCGACGAGGCTGAGGATAAGATATATTTCAAACCAGCAGTAGCGGCGTAACCGGGTGACCAGCGACCGAGCGGAGACAGCACTCCGTCCTCTTCGTCAGCACACAAGTGCGTCGTCCCAGACAATGTCAACATGCATGTAGCAACATGTATGAGCTTGAAAAAGTTGACTGAGTGTAAAACTGTGCTAGATACCAGCCTAAGTAATTATTAGTTTTTACAAGAGAGCTTTTTTTTTTTTTTTATCAAGGGCAGCAAGGGTGAAGTGGAGGCACTATTGGGCATGGTTTCCTTTCATTGAGGACTGCATGTGCCTGTGGTGGTGGCAGACACAGTCTTCAAACTTTTGAATCTTTTCAAACAGATTCTGTGCTGTTGGAGTCCGGAAACTATGTACCCATGGTCTGTTAGTAATAGTTATCAATAAAACTATGTATGGAATTGGAAAGGTTACAAGAAGTGGTATAGATTACACAGCGAGAATAACGTGATCACCAAAAGTACCACCATTGTTGCCGAGTGCAAGACAGTGCTCTGAGCTTTGCATTTAATGAGCTTTGATTCATTTCACCAAAGGTTTCAACAACCTTCAAATGCTATTGTTTTTTATCAAAAGCACAGAATTCATTGAAAACCCAGAGAGTGCAGGAAAAAACAACAGTAAGAATTTTGTTTTTGTTTCGTAAACTGGTAAAAATATTGTTTTCAGATGCTATTATATCAGGCACTTAGTTTACTTGGGCTTGTTCAGAGACAGCCATGCGCTTGTACAAATTGTACTACCACTAGTGGTCATGTAAAGAAAATGAAGAAAGCAAGGAAAAGAGAAATAATGCCTAAACAGCCTTGCAGAAGCGGCAGCGCATTTATGCACAAAATACGCGCATGCTATATTGAAGTGAAACTCACTGGGATGCCTGCGGTCCTCATTGATCACCGCAATGTCCGAGTATCCACGTGCAATGGCATGCTCGACAGTCTTCTTGATCCGCGAACGATTGCGCCACCGGAAATCGGTGTTGGGTATGCTCTGCTTGAGTTCACGGCAGAACTTGATGGTTCGCTGCAACGGGCACCACAGAAACACAAGACAAGGATATTGTAGATAACGCAATACTACAAGAAGATATATATGCACTAAAGTTGAGGGTCTGAGGCACCTGCTAACATTTAATATTTCTTGAAAGGCAACAAAGACGAAAACACTACGCATGAAGCAGCAGAACACAGTGCTGGGGCCTGCTGTTTCTTATGTCGCCTGCCCCTGCATCCTATCAAGCCTGCTGCTGTGATTCTGGAGTGCCAGCTCAATTGTGGCAGCTCCTAATGTATGCACAATGCCTATAGTCCCTGCAAACAGCTTATGGTCCAGTTGCAACATGTGAAAAGTCTGAACTCATAGCAAGTGACAAAGAGCTATCGAACTTTGAACACTGAACAGCTTTAAATTTTTACACGTTTTAGTTTTGGAACTTTAGGTGTGCCATTTACTATGCTGCACAATTTAACTTATACAGCACAATGAAACGAGTACAAAGAGGAATTCGGATTTCAGCAAATAAGAGATGATGAAAGCTGCTGTGTACACTGAAGCAACAAAACAAGTTGACACCCAGAGGCACTTCTAAATTCAATCATTAATGCAACTATTGACATCTCCTGAAAACTTACTGAGTGCGGGTTATCACTTGTCGGTAAGCAACACCTTGGGGACATACTCCTTTCTGAAGTACGCAGCCATTTCGTCCATTGCCTCATCCAGTTGAACCTGCACATGGTGAACAGTAGTGACTCGATGTCTTCTACAAATGCAGGGGGTAATGCAGAAGCAAAAACGGTGCTCTACAGATACGCACCTCTTCGTCATCTGCCTGTACCATGGTGTCATCCGGTTCCCTGGTGTTTTCAATGGTACGCGGTTCTCGCTTTGGAGGTGCCTGAAAAAATAGGTACACGAATGGAGTGTATCGATTTATGGATGGTTCTGGCAGCTTAAATGTAAATGAAAACGAAAAAAAAACTTACATTTTCACCAAGGGCTTCGGCTTCCTTTCGACGCTTTTTCTGTGCTTGCCGCTTGAGCTGTTAGAGTTAGAAAAATCGGTTATGATTTTACTTCATCACCAAAGCTCGGCTGGTTGACAGATATGCATAATGCGCGTTCGAACCGAGATGACAAATTCATGTTGAAATGCGCAAAGCATGTTGCTGAAGAAATACAATGAAAGTTCCTTTCGTCGCTATTTAGCCCTTCAGTAACTGCTATACTATGAGAACTTCAACATGAACGTGCACAAACTAGTTACCATTCGAAAAAGCTGTCATAGTATTCCCGCTTCAGTTGGAAGTACAAGCTTAACCTAATGCATATGGCATTAGGTTAAGCAAAAGAGCAATACGAGCTCACAAATTGACTCACCAATTAAGCAACATTCAGCGCAGAACTGAGAAGAAAACTCCAGAGGTGGCATTTGTCCCCAATGATTTACTTTCGCATTGACCGCAAGAGGTCGGAAATTGTGACAGTAACAGACACAAGCCGCAACTGCCAATGCCGCGCACTGGTAATCTACCATGCTAGCTAAGAGTACACTCCTGCAAGGGAACACTAACCGAAGCAGAACCGATCTTCTAAATGTGTTTCATTCAATCGGCGACCCACCAGCCACGTGGGTTATACTATCGCGATAGTGCGACCAACAAAAGCTGACACGATCAAAATGTGCGACTGGTGCTTGCCTTTTGCTTGGCTCGCTTAAGCTTCAGGTACTCTTCGAGCCTCCGTTTCTTGTTTTTGATCTGAGAAATGTTTCGTTGGTGCACATGAGCGTCGTCAACGTTCTCAACCTCCATGTTGTTGTTTACTTCTGCCCAACGTTGCCAAGTGAGCAGTTCTGAAATCCGCTTAGTGCAATTCTTAGTGTTAACTTTCTTATTAAAAATAAACGCGTACAGAATATTTTGACCCATTTATGAACATTAAATTACTGTTTTTAATATAATAATGTCAATTAATAGATTTAAAACACAGTTTAAATGCAGTATTCTTTGGTATCACGTGGTGTCATTAAAGCGGGAACGCAGACAGAAGTAACAGAAGCGGGAACTACAACGAGAGTGCTACAACCAGCAACTTCTAGCTCCGGCAGGCGTTGCAGTGTCTTCGAAGAAAATGTCACTAACAAGCGCCGACGTGAGTCAAGAATTGTACTTAGATTTCCGGACGTCGTCGAGCAGGTAACTACACAACGCTGAAGTGCATTCTTTTCGTTGTGGAGTCTGTCGGTGATCTGCAACTTTCCCCTTTCCGAAACCACGATTGTTGCAAAACTCAGCATTGAAACTTAACTCATAAAAAGGACGTTAGGCGAATACTGCGCGACAGTTTTTGCGTAACGTTAATAGGCGACGGAGCATACAACTGCGTGCTGAAATGTTTTTTTTTTTCTCAAGTTCGCAGCCGCGCGTACCTTATATATATTTGCCGAAGAGAAAAAAGAGACCGAGGGTGAGGGCTGTGGAAGCTTTGCGAAATATGTATTATGTACGGGGGGAACACAGATAAGTGAGGCATAGTCGCGATATAAATGTAGCTATGACTCAATCTTGAGCAACCTGTTTAAAACATAATGCCGCTCGTATAGAGTTCCGTCGGGCTTAATGCACCCTGACTGCAAGCTGTGGTAGAATATTTTTCCTATTCAATATATCTCTTCGATTGTTTTACGGTAAATATATCTTTGCAAATACATTTACTGCATGTTGACAGTCTATGCACTCTGAAGACGCGGATAGAGAAGAGAGGGGACACACATAAAGTGTGAACCCACATGAAAATTAGATGTGAATTCCCAGCTGAAAAACTGGTTTCCAGTCTGGTTTTCAGCTGCAAATGGCTCTTCTGACTGGGAGTTTTCAATTGTCTTTCTAAGCGCATTTATATAGTCTGCATGCAAAACCAACTGAGGCGGCTGACATTTATTGTGCTAAATATGTAAATTCCAGCTGCGAAATTGTTAGTCTGAAACAATGTTTTTCCAGATAATTCGATTTGAAAAAAAAAAAAAAAAAACTGGTGTCGGGCTTGCTTAATGATCCGCAGAAAGCAACAGTTCGCTGGGCTTTTCGTGTATGTAATTGCTTTCTGCTCAGAGTTACCAACATTTGCCTTTTTTTTGGGCTCTCACCTCCTTGCTTCTCCTTGGTGGGCAGGTGTGCAATTTAAATATTATTCGCTTGTCTAGTACATGTGCTGGTGAAACTGCAGCAATCTTTTTTTTTTCTTTAAGTGCAAGCTGTTTGACTATGAAGCACCACACGAAAAATCACCTAGCAGCTACTGAAAGAAATTCACTTATTTAAATGTAAGATGCATAGTTTTCCAGCAAGTTAGGACATGCATACAGAATGCAAGACAGCAAGGCCAGCCCAGGGTAACTGTTGAACTAACCTGTTACTGTTTTCTTCATCAAATGCATTCTAAAAGACAGGACGTGCAAAAACGGTCACAAGAAACTCAAGGCAACACAAACGCCAACCAATAACTGAAAGAGCGCACATCAGCGAAAAGGAAGGAAAACACGAAGACTTATCTGTGCATTTTTGAGCAATAAGCAGATCTATCACTGCAGCACTTAATTGTGGGGTCTACGTGAAAGATAATTTTTCAGGCACTTGATTTCTTCTTTATGCAAGAAATCTTATGACAGGGGGTCTCAAGCACGGCAAGTCGAACCTGTTGCTTGCAGCCCGCGGCATGCACATAGCTATGTTCATTTTACATATATACACATATAAATATATCGTTTTCATAATAAGTACGTTTGAGCTGCACAGACATGACCAAGCATTGTTTTCATGACACACCCCATCAAGTCACCATGTGTTGAAGCATAATAATGAAAGAAAATCAGTATTTCTAAATTGGCATTCAGATTTTATAATTTAGGAGATTAACATTGACATGTTGTTGGACGGAATCCTGGCCGCGAATCTACTCCAACAGTGACCCACATATAATATATGGGAAAGTTTTTTTATTGATAGTGTTTCGGGACAATGTGTTCGAACTAAACACCACCCCCCACTCTTATATTCTCCCCAGACCCAGCCCTTGCGGCACTAAATTCTGTGACTGAGGCCTGCTGCCCGAGACAAGTTTGAGACCCCTGCCTCACGCGCTATCTTTTCAGACACCCATGCATGCCGGATTGATAGAGATCTGCTTATTGCTTGAGCATGTGCTGATAAGCATTTGTGCCATCTTTATTTTCCGTCATTGTTAGTTAGTGTATGTGGTGTCTTGACTTCTTTCTTGTGTCCCTTTTTGCATGCATAGTCTTTCAGAATGAATACTTACCAACTAGCTTAGCTCTCTATTATTTTCAGCTTTATTCATATAATGGAATAGAAGCTATTCAGTGGACCAACACGTTTTTATTTGTTATTGCAGGTTTCATATACTTGTAACCAGTTGGTGTTCTTCGCAGTTTGATTATGAAAGCATGTCAACTCATTCGGAGTGAACTGGAATGGGCTGATTTCGATGTTGACATTGCCAATAAGTAAAAAACACAATTCTTTCAAAAATATTTATTTGCGATATGTGCTCTCTTCCAACAAAACAAGTTGCATAGACAATATTGACTGTTCTCACTTTCATGCGGAAAGGTGCTAAACTGTATCCACACCTGAAAGACTAGCACTGCTGCTATAAGCGATAATGTGCACATTTTCACACTGGCCAACACTTCTTGCAATATTGTTTCCATGTAAACAGTGTTCCTGAAAAAATACTGGCCCATTTCTGACTTCTAGCCTAAGACTTGAGTAATTGTGGACGGTGTCATGTTTTGGAATGTGTGGGGGATGCTTCAAGATAAAGGAGGCTGGACGGTTGAGGATGCTACTGTTTCAGCGTTTGGATACTGGAAGAGAAGAAAGCAGAATATGGTCAAGAACCAGTGGATCCCTCTGCATTTTATAAGGATATGGGCATATGCAGAACACAATGTGATTAAAGATCTGTTACTGTCATAAAAAGTGATCTGCACAAAGTGTAACCCACTCAAGCATTATGGGGCAATAAGTACTTTTCAAGTGTATTAAGTGCTGTAAATGATCTATAAACTGCACCCAGCAAGTTCTAGTTGCATAAGGTCGCATTGAATGAATAATAAGATATAACGTGGTGTGACAGACTTAGCACAAGGCAAAGACAATGCTCAAAGCATCACTGCCTGTGTATTACTATTGTCTAATGCTCCGTCTTTTGCTTTACAGAAAATTATGTTAAAGTAGCACAGCAGATATCCAATTTAAGTAATATTACAGTGTTCCAACTTTAATTTTTTTAGCCTCTCATTAAGACACAAAGAACAGGACACTGTCGGAGTCATAGGGTTGGGAGGTGGGCAGGTTCAAAAGTTTCTCCTTCCTAAATTTTAATTTTGCATATGAATTTATAGAAGCCCACAAACAAAACACATGCATAAACTTGCATAAACTATGGTTGAACTCCATCTCATGCGCGGCAGCCGCTTTTTTGATGGAGGCAAAAATGTTTGAGGCTCATCTCGTACTTAAATTTAGGTGCACATTGAGGAATCCCATGTGGTCGAAATTTACAGAGCCGTCCACAACGGTGTCTTTCATAATCACATTGTAGTTTAAGGATGTTAAGCTCCAACAATTATTATTATATGGTCGAACTCGCTCACCATACTCCCCCCTCTGGCTACACTACTGGATTGGAACAATGTGAAAACCACATTTTTGGTTGATCTCATCTTGAATTGTCACTTCCTCTATGCTAGGCTAAGCTGTCGGACTGGACGCCAGTTGCTCCAGCGTTTTTGTAACATTGTGTGTGGCGTGGTAGCACAGCAGGCTAGAAGGCAGTGTACGAAAACCATGCTTTTCGATTAATGGCTACACAGTTTTGTAAGATGTGATGAAGCACTCGGCAAGAGAGTAACATGACATCATATTGAAAGTCGTGGGGAACTGGTTGTCCAGGGAATAAACTATACCTTTTTCTTTACCATCACTGCATGGTGCTCGTAGTAGCCGTAGCTGCGGTATTGACCTCGACAGTGGTGGGGACCTTAGAGTCGCTGGTTGCACTGTGCTGTTTCTGCAAGACAACCACCGTGGTAGTGGGGCTTCTGGGTGCGTCCTCAAAAGCTGACATGCCAGCGTCCACACGATTGCGCCGCATCTGGAGGATCTCACTCAACTGGTCCTTGCCACTTGGCTTGTACTGTGGAGGCACAAGATTGATTGTTTGATTAGCTGACAGAGTTTTAATGCAGCACAGGGCCTTTAGGAACTTAGTGATCACTTCAGGACTACATATAGTACCAAGTTTCACTGTCTGGATGGAGCCTTTTTATGTAGTGTGGAAACCTTGTTTCACGGGCACCTTTCACCTCGCCCCCATAAATGTATATTATGTTGCTATACATTATATTACTAGCCATTATGGCTAGCAATGTGAATTACGACCTCGTACTCGATTAGCAGAATGTTGCAACTGCTAGGTCACCTTTATGAATCTATGCAGCGAAAACCGTGTGATGAATTAAAAAAATATAGTAAAAAAAGACACTACAATGTCAGAGCTCAGAGTATTTCTGCATACTATGTGTTTTGTGTCAGTGTGCTTTACCAGCTTCTTTTATGAAGTCACATCCATCGATTTGATGAATCAGTCGCATATATATATAAATTAAACAATAGGTCAGGGTTATTACAATTCTAATGTGTAACAGCTAATTGGCACGGCAATGCATAGGACAGCACAAATGAAATAAGTTGGTGAAGCGCTGTTTTTATACAATGGTTCCATGTAATGCTA